CTACGCTGTTAGAGAAAGACGCAGGGATCGCTTCATCAATTTTTTTTATATTTCTCAAATTTATCAGTGAACTTTAAAAAGAGGAAGAAACGTAAATTATTCACCTAGGTTGTTCAGTTTGGCTATTACGTGCCTGCCCAAAGGTAAAATTTGCACGAATTCTTTCGACTGAAGGATCAGCATATAAACGTTTTTCGAAAGTGGTTCGTTCGCAACTACTTTGTATTCTCTGTACGATTGAATATTGTCGTTTATATGCCTGCACATTACTTGTTCACCGAAATTCATCCACGGCATTTTATCACGCTTCGTAAACGTAAACTCCACCTGCATTGCGCAAAGGTAAATAAAAAGATTAATTGATCGTAATCTTGATATCAACACGTATAATATTAACACGTTGACTGATCATTGAAGTTAGCAAATATTTCAAAACTATAACACGATCAATTTATTCTTATTATTAAAACAAACTGATTGTTATCAACCTTGAATTAATACAAAATAAATTTTGCATCAATGATAAATTACATTATATATATTACAGTGTAATTTATTATATTACAATTATAATAAAAGAATATTAAAATTTTATAATGTTATGACATTAGATATATTTTTATATTTTATACATGTTATAATAATACAACGTATGATATCAAAGTTTGGAATTGATACTATGAAACGGGAGGTTTCGTTGCACCTTCGTTTTATAAAAATTAAATATTAATATAGGTGAAACGTATGAACTTCACCCGACAGTCAACATGTTAAATAGAATCTCTTCTTCGATTTATTGTTTACCTGCATCGTTTCAAGGTTTCTGGCGCATACTGGTGGCCATTCTACCTCTCCTATTAAGTCCAGATCATGCGTTAATATATCATTCTCGAAAATTAATTTAAAGGCCACCTTCGTATCGCTCCTCTTAGCCACTTCGTAACTCACGCCTGGACAGTTGCGTAACATTTTATAGTAGAATGTGATCGTTGGAACTGTTTGTTTCCAATCCATTTTTATACTCGATAAACCACCGTCCGACGCGTTTTCTTGGCTACGAGCTGAAACATCAAACACATTTTTAACAATCCGAAAATGCAATTGGAGCCTTTTATTTTGAACTTTTTTTTTAGGGGAGGGAGATCAAACGAACATTTTATAATAGTAATTACTATCCAAGTGTTCGAGATAATTCGCAGAACTATCAAATGACCAAGTTTTATTAACTTTCCAGGTAGAAATTTTAAAATTTCGCTGAGGATAGTAACTAGATTGTAGCAAAATTTCGAGGACTGCACAGAATGCACGCGACAATCTCTTTTTATTTTCCCTCATTACATTCTCAAATGTTGTGCGAATTTGCATGAGAATACGCAGTCCAGTTGATGTCTATCTCTGGAAAGATGTAAATTCTCAAGCACTTCGAATTATCGTGCTTTCAAATACTTTGGGAATATATTTGGGATTTATTGGTGAAATATATCGAACCTAATAACAGAGATCAATATTTAAAATAAACCTTATTTATCACCTTGGCAGTATAATTTCACTTCGTGTTACACAGACTTTCAACTTCAAACTTCAACTATTCACCCGTTATCGATGATTTCGTTTATTATAAGTATCATGTCAATCGTCGGTCACCTTTGAGCAACCGTGTCTCCGTTTCTCTAATTTTTTCTTACGCGATCGGTTATAACAACCGTCAACTATTGACGTTTCAGTAAACACAGCAAATATTGTTATATTTATATTTATATTTATAGTCGTGAGACACTGAATGTTGATTCAGTCCATACATTTACATAGAAGTATTTAATATTTTATTTATATTATACTGAACATGCTCTATTGCATTCTATGGATATATTCTAATATAATAAATTGACAGATTTGTATAGATTTGTCGACTATTTGTTTGAACATAAATGAAATTAATCAAATTAATGAAATAATCCGGAAGAAACCAAGCGGTGACAAATTATTATGTAACATCTAACAAAAAATCTTAATTTCTTAGTATACTTATTAATATAATTCCCTACATGAACAATTGAGGAAACAGACACGTGTGTATCTTATAAATAAAATTCCAAATAAATTATTATTAAATAAAATGTATGTACATATGTATGTATGTATACATGATTCGTAAAATTTCCAATTTTAATATAATTGAAGCGAAAATTGTCGAACTCTATTGCGTTCATAACTCCACGGATCAGTCATCGAGAGTAACTTTAGAGGACTTCGAAATATACCAGCAAGGTATATTAAAAATAATGGCAAGTAGAAAAACCTTTACTAATATAATTTCCCCCGTTAATCCAGTATACAAACATACTAACTGACATTCAAACTCCTCGGGACATTTAAATCGCGAATGGCACAAAGCGCCAATCATTTTAAAAGCCGCACGAACGTGTTTTTTCCCCCCCCCCCTTTTATTCGTGTCGTCGTCGTCGGCCAGACAGAATGTAAAAGGATCGACATGTGATTCAACCACGTTTGATTACTCACTCGTGCAACTTGTTATCGGGTTCAACGTCGCCGACGAACAATCGGCCGTGTTCGACACGGTGTTCTCCGTCGGCGACGAGCTGCTACCGCTCACCGATCCACGGCTCAGCCTGCCGACCACGCATTTTTGCAGGATGCTTTGATAGTTCACCCATGCGTGCACCTGCAACGAACGATCTATGGGTACGTAAGATCAAATCGTCGATCAACGACGGAGATCGGTGCCGATCGGTCGGACGTCGTTGGACTTACGCTTTCGAAGAGTTTGGTGGCATCTTTGCCGACACCTCTCATCAATTCGTCGACACCACCCGGATGGAAGTCCATGTATTGCGTCACGTTGAAAACCATCCCTGGAAGATTAAATTATCGGTAAATTAAATTATACCGATTATATGCGTTGAAATTACCAGTCCGTCGTTATGAAAGACGACATTCTTGCGTTCGTCCTCTTTCGTGCAATATTTCTCTTAAATTAATAATTTTTATTCACGACATACGTAGGTTGATACCTCTTTTTTTTTTTTTACGAAGAAAGCAGGATCTTTGAGAGGATCATCTAGATAAAAAAATCTGTTCTCCAAGTTTTGTTTCAAGGATTTTTTTTTTTTCGCGAACGATGAGTCTCAGAGATAATTAAATATTAATTATTAACGTTAATTGAGCTCAATTATGTATAAAAAGCAAGGATCTTATTTTATTTATCTGATAATTCAGTAGATGATGAAATTTTCCGATTGCACCAATATTTTCTAATTCTTAACACTTCTTAACACATAGTTTCTTTGTTGCCTAAAGTATCATTTAATTTGTTGAAATGAATGCTCGTCTCAAGGGTTTCAAAATACAGGGATGTATAATTAATTATATAATAATACATTCATTGATAAAAAAAGTAATCTTCTCTTTCAATCTATTACTCTTTATAATTATTTATCCTTTTTGCACGTGATTTATTATTTAATGAATTGCCTTTCTATACTTCCTGCTCGAGCTTCTCCGATTCTGAGTCATAGCTCATCTAATATGTGAGGTCACGATCGTAGAAAATACATACGCGGCAAACATAGCTGGAATTGAAATAGGCTGGCCAGAGGTCCGTGACGGACGTGGAATAAATATTGAGCGATTCGATTGACGTTTGTCCGACAAACTGGCAACGTAAATTTTTAATCGAACTAAAAGCGGACGATCAACGCTGCCTTACGTTATTTTCTCGTCTTCGAAGAACACAAGTCAATCTCTCCGATAATTATCGCGTAAAAGGAATATTTGCGATGATTTTTTTTGGAAAACTCGACTAGTATTAATTAACTCCCCTTTGTGATACAAAAGAAAGACATTGAGAACAAAATATTAACATTCGCGGCCGGCGAGACGTTTGCCTGTAGTTGTGTCGCAACGAATAATCAGAAAACGCACAAAATAATCTTCTTCTTTCGTAGTAAAAGTTTCTTTTAAATGATTAAGATGTAATATATATATGTATATGTGTGTGTATAATTTTGATAAAAAGTTTTGATGAAAATGTCTTACCATACAAGTGTTATTACATTCATTTTGCAAACTTGATGCTGCTATATTAACTATGGATATTATTATAGTTTGGATAGTAGCAACATTATTGCTGGCTTATTTATTGAATGTTCATACATCTATTGGACAAACGGAAATTGTATTCAGCCGTTTGGTGCGACATATAGCCCTTATAGCTAAGTAGGTGCACCAATTTTGAAATGACTAGTAGAACTACATTGCCGGTTGTTCAGTTAATAAATAAATTTAAAATGACGTAAAACTACGTTACCAGCATTCAGCTGAGCAGTTTGACATAGGACTACGTTATCGACCGAGAATGTGATTAAGGTATTTAATACCTAAAGATATTGAATATTAGTAAAATAAATATTAGGTAGAAAGTAAGAGCTGCACGGGCTAGGAATTGAAATTAAAATGAGCTAACGTCAAAATTGATAACAGAACGACGCAAGATTCTTCTTGACTAATTCACG